GTACGTACATACGTACAAACATGGAGGGATACATACATACATACATGGATACATCATGTATACGTATATATACATCTAAGCATACATACACATATACATGTGTATGGATACATACGTGTGTATATATACATACACAAGTGTCCGGTGTGCCACAGATTTACAACTTTTTTTTACTGTACAGGAGGAGTTCAGTTCATGTTCTAGCTGATTCAAAGATGTGATGATATAAACATTATGTGTTTTCTTAGTTTTCACTGTTTTCTCATTGAGGTGAAAACTGTGTATAAAGCTCTGTCCAATTGCAGTCATCATGACTTTGTCTGGCCAGTTTAGCATTGACAATATCCCACCACTGTCAAATATTGATTTAGGCAACAAACAGATATGTGAAGCACAAGATCCTCTGTATATTTTCTACTAAAAACAGGTGGAAGTTGGTGCGTATGTTGAATAAAAATGGAGGATAATGCCGAGTTCACGTGGCAATATGCTGACTTTGGACATAAGAAAATGTAGTTTGAACCTTGTTGTTAATGCATTGAGTTGAAATGAAAGGAGCTGATTAAAGTGGTGGTGACACATAATCTGACTGTGGTACAGTTCACAAACAGTCCCTACCTGGTCTCAACGAAAGCTGCTTAAATCATCTGAGTGGTCGCCACAACATTTGAGAGCAACTTCTTTCTGTGATGAAAATCATCACAACATCAAACAAGAGTTTCAGTTTAAAGTCCGTTTTATTCAGTCCTGAGAATTTTCATGACCTAAATCCAAACAAAGCTTTGAACAGCTCGCAGGTATTTGGCTGGAATCAAAGCTTCTGTCTGCTCAAATGTGTTTTCATCTATATTTTCTTTTTCTGTTTCCTCCTGTAATTTTAAGGTAAAATGTTTTACCTGTATATTAGGATTTTTGTAGGTTTATTTTTTGACGGGTTTTCTGGCCTGTGTTAAAACTTTTTCTATATAAATAAATCAAACTTGCGATCAAAAAGAAAATCTAAGTAATTGATATGTACTTTTTGTTCAGCTAACTCTTTGCTCTGACTTTTAAATAAGCTATACTAATAAAATCTAAGTTAATATTTCTGCATGAATGTTTGATTTAAGACATAGGACAACAAATTCATTCAATGATA